TGGGAGAGCCCTTGGATCAGGCTTTGGGAATAATCCTTGGATATGCGGGGAAAGAACTGGGAGAGTCCCAGGATATCCTGGGAATGGACTGGGAGAGCTCCTGGATCGGCCTTAGGGAATTATCCCAGGATATCCTGGGAATAGATTGGGAAAGCAACTGGATCAGGCTTTGGGAATAATTCCAGATTTCCTGGGAATGGACTGGGAGAGTCCCTGGATCAGGCTTTGGGAATTATCCCAGGATATCCTGGGAATTCGCTGGGAGAGCCCCTGGATCAGGCTTTGGGAATAATTCCAGATCTCCTGGGAATAGACTGGGAGAGCTCCTGGATCAGCCTTTGAGAATCATCCCAAGATATCCTTGGAAAGGACTGGGAGAGCCCCTGGATCAGGCTTTGGGAATAATTCCAGATCTCCTGGGAATTCGCTGGGAGAGCCCCTGGATCAGCCTCATGCTCTGCACTCCAGCTCCTATTCCATACAGATTCCATNTCTTCTCCACACGGTGTCCTGGTGTTGTGGGGAGCAGCTGCCCTTGTAAACCAGTGGGAATCATCCCAAATCTCCTGGGAATGGGCTGGGAGAGCCCCTGGATGAGGCTTTGGGAATAATCCTTGGATATCCGGGGAAAGAACTGGGAGAGTCCCAGGATCTCCTGGGAATGGACTGGGAGAGTCCCTGGTTCGGTTTTAGGGAATTATCCCAGGATATCCTTGGAAAGGACTGGGAGAGTTCCTGTATCAGGCTTTGGGAATAATTCCAGATCTCCTGGGAATGGACTGGGAGAACTCCTGGACCTCCTGGGAATAGACTGGGAGTCCCTGGATCAGCCTTAGGGAATTATGCCAGGATATCCTTGGAAAGGACTGGGAGAGCTCCTGGATCAGGCTTTGGGAATAATTCCAGATTTCCTGGGAATGGGCTGGGAGAGCTCCTGGATCAGGCTTTGGGCATTATCCCAGATTTCCTGGGAATGGACTGGGAGAGCCCCTGGATCAGGCTTTGGGAATTGGCTGGGAGAGCCCCTGGATCAGCCTTTGGGAATCATCCCAAGATATCCTTGGAAAGGACTGGGAGAGCCCCTGGATCAGGCTTTGGGAATAATTCCAGATTTCCTGGGAATGGACTGGGAGAGCCCCTGGATCGGCCTTAGGGAATTATCCCAGGATATCCTGGGAATTCGCTGGGAGAGCCCCTGGATCAGCCTTTGGGAATAATCCCAGATCTCCTGGGAATGGCCTGGGAGAGCCCCTGGATCTCCCGGGAAGTGGCTGGGAGAGCCCTTGGATCAGGCTTTGGGAATTATCCCAGGATATCCTGGGAATAGATTGGGAAAGCAACTGGATTAGGCTTTGGGAATCATCCCAGATCTCCTGGGAATGGACTGGGAGAACTCCTGGATCAGGCTTTGGGAATAATCTCAGGATCTCCTGGGAATGGCCTGGGAGAGCCCCTGGATCAGGCTTTGGGAATAATTCCAGATCTCCTGGGAATGGACTGGGAGAGCCCCTGGACCTCCTGGGAATAGACTGGGAGAGCCCCTGGATCAGGCTTTGGGAATAATCCTTGGATATCCGGGGAAAGAACTGGGAGAGTCCCAGGATATCCTTGGAAAGGACTGGGAGAGTTCCTGGATCAGCCTTTGGGAATCATCCCAGATCTCCTGGGAATTGGCTGGGAGAGTTCCTGGATCGGCCTTAGGGAATTATCCCAGGATATCCTTGGAAAGGACTGGGAGAGCCCCTGGATCAGGCTTTGGGAATAATTCCAGATCTCCTGGGAATGGCCTGGGAGAGCCCCTGGATCTTCTGGGAATGGACTGGGAGAGCCCCTGGATCAGGCTTTGGGAATCATCCCAGATCACCTGGGAATGGGCTGGGAGAACTCCTGGACCTCCTGGGAATAGACTGGGAGTCCCTGGATCAGGCTTTGGGAATTATCCCAGATCTCCTGGGAATGGGCTGGGAGAGTCCCCAGATCAGGCTTTGGGAATAATTCCAGATTTCCTGGGAATGGACTGGGAGAATTCCTGGATGAGGCTTTGGGAATAATCCCTGGATCTCCTGGGAATGGACTGGGAGAGCCCCTGGATCGGCCTTAGGGAATTATCCCAGAATATCCTTGGAAAGGACTGGGAGAGTTCCTGTATCAGGCTTTGGGAATAATTCCAGATCTCCTGGGAATGGACTGGGAGAGCCTCTGGATCAGGCTTTGGGAATTATCCCAGGATATCCTTGGAAAGGACTGGGAGAGTTCCTGGATCAGGCTTTGGGAATTATCCCAGNCCCCAAACCTCCCTCTGAGGGGTGATCCTGGTGCCATTCCACAATCCTGGGCACCATGGACAGCTCCATTCCCTGCCTGAGGCTGCTTCCCACGGCTGGGAAGAGCTGGGAATCCTGATCCCAACACCCTGAGTGACAAAGCCACGCGTCACTCGTGGGATCTGTCCCAGCACTGGGATCAGGGAACGATCCCGATGTCCCTTTTCACTGGGATAACACCAGCAGGCTCCAATGTTTTAGGGCCAGGAGGGCACTGGGAAACCTCAGGATTTGGGGTTTTCTCAGCATGTTCATGATCAGGCTTTAAATGAAGGGTGATTAACCCTAACAATTAACATCATCGTTAATCACGGCATTGACAAAGCCACAGGTCACTTGTGGAATCTGTCCCAGCACTGGGATCAGGGAATGATCCCGTTGTCCCTTTCCACTGGGATAACACCAGCGGGCTCCAATGTTTTAGGGACAGGAGGGCACTGGGAAACCTCAGGATTTGGGGTTTTCTCAGCATGTTCATGACTCAGCTTTTAATTAAGGGTGATTAACCCTAATAATTAACATTTTTGTTAATCACTGCATTACCAGTGGGATTCTCTGAGTGACAAAGCCACGGATCACTCATGGAATCTGTCCCAGCACTGGAATCAGGGAGTGATCCGTTGTCCCTTTCCACTGGGATAACACCAGCGGGCTCCAGCATTTTTAGGGACAGGAGGGCACTGGGAAACCTCAGGATCTGGGATTTTCTCAGCATGTTCATGATCAGGCCTTTAATGAAGGGTGATTAACCCTAACAATTAACATCATCGTTAATCACTGCATTGACAAAGTGATTCCACGTGCCACTCATGGAATCTGTCCCAGCACTGGGATCAGGGATTGATCCCGATGTCCCTTTTCGCTGGGATAACACCAGCAGGCTCCAGCATTTTTAGGGACAGGAGGGCACTGGGAAACCTCAGGATTTGGGGTTTTCTGGGCACGTTCATGACCCAGCTTTTAATGAAGGGTGATTAACCCTAACAATTAACATCATCGTTAATCACTGCATTGACAAAGCCACGTGTCACTCGTGGAATCTGTCCCAGCACTGGGATCAGGGAATGATCCCGTTGTCCCTTTCCATCCGGGAGAAACGTGCTGGGATAACACCAGTGGGNTGCTCTGCACTCCAGCTCCTATTCCATACAGATTCCATCAAAAGGTTTGAGGGAGAAATTTGGGAAATCCTTCATTTTTAGGATGGAGGTGCTGGATCCCATTGGGATGGGAAATCCAGCAGCAAATCCCACATTGTGCTGAGCATGGAGTCAGGAAAACCCCACCTCAGCCCCCTGGGGATTTATTCATTGCCTAAAATCCATAAATTTGGGTTTTCCACAACATTTCATGGAGAGCTGAGGGTTTTCCAGAGTGTCCAGAGGATCTGACTTCCAGCTCCAGGAGTTTTCAGTGGCTTGGACTGGGAATCAATGGCCTGAGCAACACAAAAGGGAATAAAAAAAGGGAATAATTCTCTTATTTTTTTATTTCTTTTCCTGTTTTTAGGGTGATCGGGGACTTCTGGGACCAAAGGGAGAACGAGTAAGGACATTGCAGATTTTTTTGGGGTTTTCCTTTCTCTGCGTGGCTCCCAGAAAATCCTGGATCCATCCTCTCCTTGCTGTGCCTGTGAAATTGAGAGGAGACAACACCTGGATTCTCCCCCCCCCTCCTTTTTGGGGGTCTCCACCACTTTAAATCAAATTTTTTTTTATTCCATCCTCACACTGGAAACATCTCTGGGAGCTGAGTTTTGTGGGATGGATTTGATGGGATCCTATAAAGCACAAAAAAAAAACAAAACAAAAAAAAAAGAGAAAGTAATTTTGGGAACGATTTGCTGGGGCACAAAAATCCTGAATTAAGAGAAGGAGAAAATTCCCCCTGATTTTTGGAATGAGCAGCTGACCCCAGAGCCAACCTTAATTTCCAGCAGCCCGAGCTGGCTCCTGACAGGTAATGGGAAAATAACTCCTCAAGTGCTGCTGGAAAAATGCTCAGAAACCGCTGAACCCGTGCCCGGCGTTTTGTTAAGTCCCTTCCTGGCCGGAATGGCTGGTTGGAAAATGAGGTTTTGGAAAAAGCTCCGTGATGATGCCGCCTTCGAGTCACGCAATATTCCGTGATTAAGGCCCATTTGTCTCCGAGGAAGCTCCTCTGGAAAGGAACTCGCCCCGGAGACCAATCAATTCTTAATTTGCTTCGTGAGGAGGCCTCGGAATTCTTCCCAGGCCAGAGGAATGTGGGATGAGTTTTCCAAAGGATGCCTGTGTAAAAGATGAGGTGGAATCCGAGATAAAACTGGAGCTGGAGGGGAAAATCAGCTTGGGTTTGTTCCACCTGATTCCAGCTTTATTTTCCATCTCATTCTCCCTGGATAAGAATAACTCCATGGATGCCAGGGTTGGATTGAGCTGCAGGATTTTTTGTCTCCCTTCTGTTCCCAAAATTTGTTGAGCCCCATCCTGGCTCTGTTGGAGAGTTGGGAAGCAGGAATGTGTATGAAACCAGAATTTGGGAATGGTCCTGTGGTGAGGTCCTGGCTNTGGATGGATGGATGGATGAGGGATCTGGGCTGGATGGGCTTCAATCCCCTGGGAATGTTGGGTTTGGAGAGCACTGAGCACTTCCAAAGCAAATCCTCCCTTTTATTTTGTTCTCCTTCTCCCGCAGGGAATTCCTGGGACACCTGGACCCAAAGGCAACAAGGTCAGTGCCCCCTTCCCAGGAAAGTCATGAGCAGAAATCCTGGGATGGGAATGGGACAAATCCCTGCCTTCTCCTGGCTCCTCATCCCTGAGCCCATCCTGCTTCATCCCATTCCACCCTCGCTCCCTTCCTCCCACGGTTCCTGGAGCACCCTCCGGAGAGAACAGCAGAAAATCCATGGAATTGGGTCTCCTGAGTCTTCCTGGGACTTCAATCCTGGCCAAACTAACCAGGAATTGTGTGGTGGGATTTCCCTGCTCCCGGTGACACCTCTGGAATTCTCTGTTTTCCAGGGAGAAGCCGGCGTTGGAGCCGCCGGCCCCAGAGGTCCCCATGGATTCCCTGGCCCTCGGGTAAATAAATCAATAAATATTCCATAAATATTCCAGGCTTGGATTCCTGCAGCCTCCAGCCCCCTTTGGCGCCAGCTTTGTCCATCACCTGTCCCCAACCCATCCTAGAAATTCCTGAAGGGTTTCAGGCAGCAAAATTCCCTTTTCATTCCCATCCCAGTTCCCTATCCCTGAGAAGTTTTGGTCTTGTTCCAGCAAAGACGAAGTCGGAATTGGAGGCCGTGTTTAAATTTGCTGCTCCTGTGGCTCTCCCACAAAAAAAAAAAAAAAAATCGGGATTTTATGGCCAAATCCTTTGGGATGCTTTGGGATGAGGCCCCCGAGGAAAAACCCTCAACAGCTGTGGGTAAACCTCGCTGGAGCTTCATTATCCAAAGGAAATGATGGAATAATGTTTCTGCTCTTTTGACTCCCAGCATAAATCTAAATCCCAGCATCCCAGGTTGTGTTGGCTTCATATGGGAGACCTAAATTTGGCCTCAGTTGTTTGGAATTTGGGCAATTCCTGAGGTTGAAAGGCAGCTCCTGTAGGGTCGGCTCAAGGAGGTTCCATGGGCCCTCCAGTGCAGCTCTTCCATCCCAATCCATAAGAAAAGCTGGATGGAGGGAAAAGGAGGTTGGACGGGAATTCTGGGGATGGGAATTCTGCCTGCCCCATTCCCAGCGGGATGGTTTGTGGATTTGGGGTCCCCCCTGTGCCTCACTCCCCGTTTCCGTCCCCCAGGGTGACGAGGGCATCGTGGGAATGCGGGGTCCCCCCGGAATGATGGTGAGTGCTCCGAGATTCCCGGAAAACCACGGATCCGCGGCCATGAGAGAAAAAAATATGGGATTCTTCCAAAGGGAAATTAATGATTTGGGAACCTGAATTTCAGTGGGAATCCTATGAGTTCCTTACTGTCCTTGTCCCTTTGGGTGGCTCATCCCAAGGTTTGGAAGCTCTCCTGGAATGTCAATCCCTGCCTGCTGTTGTCTGGAATTTCAGGAATTTCAGGGCAGGAATTTCAGGCTCTTCTTCCTCTGGAGGGGGCTGAGTAGGGGGAGACACAAATGGCAGCTGGAATTTGGATAAACTATTTATTAAACTATTATTTATTAAACAAACTAATTTATTAAACAAACCAATTATTAAATAATAATCATTTAATAATTATTATTTATTAGGCTTTTAATATTATTATTTATTTATTATTTATTAGTTTTTCATGGGATGAAAGGAAGAGGATTTTTTAATAAGGACACAGAGCAATAGGAAATGGGGGAATGGCTTTAAACTGGAATGGGGCAGGGATAAATGGGATATTGGGAAGAAATTCTTCCCTATGAGGCTGGGGAGGTCCTGGCACAGAATTCCCAAAAAAATTGTGGCTGCCCCATCCCTGGGAGTGTCCAAGGCCAGGTTGGACAAGGCTTGGAGCACCCTGGGATAGTGGAAGGTGTCCCTGCAGATGGAAATTCCCACCTTTCTGCATATTCCTGGGAATTCAGCAAACAGGGGTGACCACGTTTGGCTTTTCCCCTCCCCAAATTTGCTTCCCATCCCGGCTTGGCCTCCACGGGATCCGGAGATCCCACGGGATCAAGGATCCACCTCCACCTTGGAGGAACCTCTTGGAGCAACCCAGATTTTCCTCGGTGCTGAGGGTCCAAAAATCCCAGTGGGATTCTCAAAATGAGGGAATTTGGCTGAATTTGTCCTCCTGCTGTGCTGGTTCTTCCAGCAGATTTTCCATGCTGGAGCCCATCCCTGGAAGCAGCTCTGCCTTTGGATGGAGGCTGCTCTGTCCCAACTTCCCATATTCCCAATTTCCTCCTGGTTTTGTGGATCCTCACGTATTTTTTGTGTTTTTTCCCAGGGTCCAAAAGGCTTCCCAGGCATGAAAGGCCAAAGAGTAAGAACTGATCTTATCTAAAACTCTTATCTGCAATTCTTATCTTATCTACATCTTTTATCTTCTCCATTCGGTGTCCTGGTGTTGTGGGGAGCAGCTGCCCTTGTAAACCAGTGGGAATCATCCCAAATCTCCTGGGAATGGGCTGGGAGAGC